TAGAACCTGTTGCCTAATGAGAGTCAACATGTGTGGTGCTGTACCCCAATAAGAGTCTGGTGACTCTAGCCTCAATGAAGGTTCTTGGCTCGGGTAACTCAAATTAGAAAAAAGTACCTGGATTTTTTTTTATATATTTGGATTGGGAAGGGTTTTGGAAGTTATGCCCATCACATCTTGAAAGAGCTCAGAGACAGCTACAAGAGTTGTTGGATGTGGAAGCATCTTTTTTGAGGAAAGGCAGATATTGGTGGTCTGGGTCTTTGTCCACTGGTTAACAAAAACACAAATACAATACTAAAATACCTCCAACTTTCATTCCTTACACCCTCTCAGCCACTCCCCCACACAATGCCCATGCCCCTTAAATGCCAACTCCTGCCACCTCATGGCCTCCATTTACCGATATGTCCCTCTGTATGTTCCAAGTTATCTCATGGCTCCTCTAGCCTCCATGGTCACTAATATTCCCTAACCCAAACTATGCCTCTGTGGCCATCCATCATGGATTTAATAGTCCCTTTAAAGGCCAAGAGATTTAAATGACTTGACAGTTTGGCAGTTTCAATGAGATTTAAAGACATTTTACATATATTTATGTCTACTTTCAACAACCTCGAAAAGTACTTCACCACTCTCAAAGTAGATTTGAAGGATCAGCGGACTTTTGTTTTTAGCTTTATTGTCACATGTTCTCAATGAGTACAGTGAAAAGTTTATAAGTCGCCACTTACAGCACCATCTTAGGTACAAAAGTGCCTAGGTACAGCTTCTTGGAATGTTAGCTCTGCCTCCTCTCCACAGATGCTGCTAGACTGCTGATTTTCTCTAGCCATTTCTTTTTTAGTTCGTTTGAATCCATACTCTCGTGATAACCAGTGCCCCTTGAACCCATATGCCTCCGGAACCAGTGTCTCTGCAACCCCAATGAGTGTTTTAATACAGAAGCAGAAGACAATAATGCACAAAAAATTCAGAATGGGTACAGTGGGAAACATAATACAGTCAGAGAAGGATAAGTCTTTTTCTTACCTCCCAGCTATCTTCTTTCCTTTTGTATCTCAATTCGTATTCAAAATCATCTAAGTAATCGGTCTCATCATAAGCTATTTGCCAGGTGAAGTTGTACGATTCACACGGAGAGATACACGAGACATTCAGATTGAATGGTGGAAGAGGTTTTACTGTAGCAACAAAGATTTGTTTGACAAGTCTGAATTATGAAGTACAAAATGAACATTACTTACAGATCAGAAAGTCCTTACTGGGTCAGGATTGTGGAGCAGACATTGTAACTGCAATTGAGATTTTGTGAAGGCTCTATGTAGTCAAGTGAATTGACAAGGTTGATGCTGATAATGCAAAATCCTGGCTGTTAAATGAATAATGAAGAAGGAAAGTCATAGGAATATTTCTACCCAAAGTGTAACAGGGTTATAGAATTAGTTTCTGGAGTAAAACTTGAAGTGGAAAGAAATGGAATGAAGGTGCAGTAGGTTTGAAAGAGGGAGGATGATCAAGGAGTACAGTGAAAATGGTGTTAGTGTGATGAGATGTGATCACTAGGGAAAGACAAGGTCTGTACTTGGGCAATTATATTCCTGATAAGCTGGTACTAGTTCTGTTTGACTGAAACTTGTTTCAATTTACTCTTCATTCAAAGAAAACAACAGTTATTGAATTAAAATAATTAATTTCTATATGCATGTACAAGTAGTTTTACTCTATATTTAACAAGTGCTGGACCTTCTTAACTGTTTAATAAGGAAGTGCATTAGATAGCTATAGAGTAAGTCCACATTGAAAGGAAGTTCCTGAAAATCATGACTCTAAGTGAAACATAGGTTCCTATAAAAATTGGTAATGGTTAGCTCAGCTGGCTAGACAGCTGGTTTGAGATGCAGAGTGCTGCCAACAGCACCGATTCAATTCTGGACCAGCTGAGGTTATAATGAAGGATTCTCCTTCTGAACCTCTTTCCTCACCTGAGGTGTTGTGACCCTCAGGTTAAACCACCTGTGGTCAACCCTCTGTAATGAGAGAGCAGCCCAATGGTCTGGCAAGACTATGGCAAATTTAACTTTACCTATAAAAAACCAATGTTGAAGTCAGAGTAAGAACATTTGTTGTCTGTAAAGCAATGCACAAGTTATAAACATATAAATAAGGAACAAAAATCATACAATAATACAGTGCAGAAGAGGCCCTTCAGTCCATGCAGTCTGTACTGCCAAAAGTATAATACTACACACACAACCTTTTTAAAGGTTGTGAGGTTACCCACTTCAGCTACCATCCCACGCATGCACTCCAGATCCCTGCCACCCTCTGGATGAAAAAATGTTTTTGCTCAAATCCCCTCTAATCCTCCTGCCTTTCATTTTAAAGTTATGCCCCCCATTATTGATCCTTCAACAACTGTCCACTTTCAAATCTGTCAAAACCTCCAATACTCAAGCCTGCTCTACCATTCAATGGCTGATCTGATTTTAACCTCAACTCTACATTTCTCCGTATCTGTAACAATCTTTCAACCCCTTGGGAATCAAGAATTTATTTATTTCTGCCTTAAAAATATTTAAAAGATTCTCCATCCACTGCCTTTCGAAGAAGGGAATTCCAAAAACTCTCAGCTCTCAGAGAGAAAAAAATTGTTTCTTCACTTCTGTCTTACTTGGACAATGTCTTTTTTTCCTCAAAAAGCAACTCCCGCAAGGTGAACTACTGTACCATATGTATACAGCACTCTGTGTTCCTAGCTGAAATGACATGCAAAATACATCATATATATAAAATAAGTGCAATATATAAATAAAGACACACATAGCACGTAGTACTTTCAGATTGACCAGGCTCCTTCTGAGATTAGAGGTTGGTCCAGTATTGATAAATCATGGAACCCAGGATTTCTGTGAATATCAAGACTGGGTCAGGCCAGCCGCCGGGAGAAGAAGAGGAGACACTAGGGTTTAAAGCAAGAACAGGGGGCAGGTGGCAAGGCTGCAGTTGGAGGCAAGGGGACGCTGAAACGGAGCAACACTGGTGAGTAAAGATGGGAAGCAACACTTGCTGGGAGGATGAAAAAGCCTTTGGGTAGGAGGGAGGCAAGGCCAGAGTGCAAGGGTGGAAGGCAAAGCCAAGAAGGGAGGCAAGACCAAAAGGCAATGTCAGCTGGAGCCAGGCAGTGGATTAGGGCAAGAGTGGAAGCACAAGGGGAAAAATAATGCAGAGGAGCAAGACTGTGACCAAAATCACTGAAGTGAAACTGCAATGTTATGTTGATATCTTAAAACAAAACTATATTGAGCGAGTCAACATTAAGCATGAATTTACTGTAATCTGTCTCTAACTTGTGCAATAATTGCCTTGTGAGTGCTTGATAGAGCTGACTAAATGTGAAGAAGTTATTATTCCCCAACAGCAACATTGTTCCTTCAGATTTTGATTCTTGCAATGACCAAATCACACAGTTGTGATTCACACTTACTGTTTTGCGTTGTATCAAAGTAAGGACATGTTTCAATGCACTTTTCATCTCCTCTGTATTTTGCTTTGATGCTGATGGTGTAATTTTCAATTGTGATTCCCTCTTCTTGATAAAGTTTACACTTGTACTCAGTGAGACCCTTATCCCTATCAGAACAGGACATCAGGTCTAGATTACAGGAAATCTCCACATCCTCCCTAGAGTGGAAAATGGGAAGAAATAATACATGGTTTATTGTGTGGTTTAGGAATGTTACAATGAGCATGTGACTTAGGCCTGCAGATCAGCGAGTTTTGGGTACAATTCAAGTCAGTTGGAATCTCAAAAACAGAATGCTTTGGTTCTGGGACTGTGTACTCCAGAACCTGAAAACAATCCCTCAAGATGTTCCCCGATGGAAAGTATGTGGGCTTAGTGGAAAGGCAATCTCACCTCCGACAACATTTGCTGTCTAAACACATGCATGATGAATGACCAGTAAAGACAAGAACTTCAGTTTAATAGCATCTTTCATGACCAAAGTGCTATATCACAATCAAGTACTTTTGATGTCATCATTTTTGTAATGCAGAACAAATATCAGCCATGAAATGCACAGTATCACAGAATGAAAGTATGCACAGCAAGATCCCACAAACAGTGGTGATCTGATCATCAATTTTTGTGATATTATTTGAGGAACAAATATTGACAAAGTCACTAGGAGGTTTCTCCAGAACCAGTTTGGATAGTACATTTGTTTTTTTTAAATAATCATTTTTGTTCTGTCATAAAGAATAGAGCATTAGAAGAATTGTGCAGGCTGATTATGAACTTGCTTTGAGCTCTGTAAATTGTACTTCTGTATCCAGTAAGACCTAGCACTGAATTTTTCCAAAAGCAGGGATCTCCTTCCTGCCACTGGAAAGGTAATTGGGGAACTGACCACACGAGTGGACAGCTGCCTTGCAGCCAATTAAACTTCTGTGCAGCATGAGTTAGCTGGATGTGGAGCCTCCATCTGCCCTGATCTCAGGAGGAAGTCTCGCTGGTCAATAGCTCTCTAGTCCATGCCAAAGGAAACTTGGATTGTAACAAATCCTACAGAACAAAGTGCCTGGAGCCCAGGTGCAGGCTGCTTTAAGAGTTGGGTGTCAGCCGAGGACCAAATAAAACCACATGACCAAATGCAGTACAGCAGAAATAAGCTAGAGGGAGTGAAGATACATAATTATCTGTACCTGCAAGTTGTAGTCTTAGCTGTGAAATAAATCTACACAATATCTGCAAGTAAATTGAATCCTTGCGACTTAATTTGCGTTACTCACCAATGAACACAAGTAGTACAACAATTGAAATTACAAATTAAGAACAAGAATAGGCCACTTGGTTCCTCAACTCAACATTGTCCATCATTCAATGAGATCATGGATGATCCGATTACTCTACATTCCTACCTACTTCTGATATCCTTTCACTTCCTTGCTTATGAAGAATCTATGTCTTCCTTAAAAAAAATTCTCAAATACTCTGCTTCCACCACCTTTTCAGGATGACAGTTCCAAAGACACACAACCCTCCATATCCTTAACCCTTTCTTAAATGGGTAACCACTTACTTATAAAAAGTAACTCCTTGTTCTAGATTTGCTCACGAGAGGAATCATTTCCATATTCATCCTGTCAAGTCCCTGCAGATTTTATATCTTTCAACCAAGTCACCTCTTCCCCTCTGAACTCCGGTTGATACAATCTAGGCTGTCCAACCTTTCCTCTTAACACAACCCACCCATTTCTTAGGCTCATACACCTTTCTGAACTGAGTGTTACTGAAAAAAGACGTTTTATTGAAGCTTTTCATCTGGCATTCATCAGAATAATTTGCAAGAATACCAATTAAATGGAAAAACAATATTTATACTGCAAGAAAGAGAGTGCTGACATATTGACCAGCAGACTCTGATTGGTTAAGGTGTTGCCATGGGAAATGCCACAATTACTGATGATTTCCAGTTTTTTAAGACTATGTTGAAATTTTAAACCAGGCAGGTTGACTCTGATTGATCAGTGCATTGCCCTGAGAAAGGAACCAGCAAATGTCATTTATTTTGCTGAGGTGAAACAGGCACAGCCCGAAACGTCAGCCTTCCTGCTCCTATGATGCTGCTTGGCCCGCTGTGTTCATCCAGCTCTACACCTTGTTATCACAGTGTGTATGTACCTGTTCTTTGTCTGCAAGGAACAAATTTCTGTTAATAATAAATGCAGCTTCCAGTACATGCAAGTGCACCACACTATGATCCTGCAAATCCTAAATTTGTTGTTGGTGTAATTCTTTGTGCACTCAGGATTATCCAGGAAATGTTATCCAATTTCAGCATCATTTCTAAGGTTGGAAAATACATTATATATTTTGCGAGTGAACTAGTTGGGTACCTTGTTTGTTGCAAAGAGTCTAAGGGATATTCTCTTCGATACAATCCACCAGTCTTTGGGATGTACAGGCTACATACTTGGCATCGCATTGGCACTGAAATTTATATGCCACATTACTGACATGTGTGATAGACAGAATGCCTATTTGGCTTGATGGCAGCATTCTGTTAATACCAAACATCACTCATGTTGCTACCGTGTAGTAGCAGCCTGAAACATCTGTTGTTCAAACATTTGAGGAACTTTTCTCTGCTAGAATAATCTGAGGTAGACTAGGCATTTTCCAGGACCATGAGGGACTGCCTTAGGGCTTTTCATGAGTTTGCACAATGTACAATGAGAAATGATCTGCTCAGACTTCCTGTTATTGTGCAGGATGGTATTCAGGCACTCTACTTCAGCATCAAGCTCATGCCCTATTTGAGACTGCTAAAAAGGCCAAACTCTCAGCACACGGAATGATAGGAATCCCAAACGTATGCTGACTATGGAAAGAAGGTTTGCAGTCTGTCGTGGCAGAGAACCACCTGGCCAATTCCTCAACTAGGACATTGAGAAAAGGGAACTCATTTGACTGCACCATTTCAAACATGAATTTGAGGACATATTGGAGCCATTCAGACATGAAAGGGAATTCTTACATACAGCTGTGATTTCAAACATTACAAATGTATCGTTTACATATTTGAAATATACAATGGGTAGGAGCTTAGGTGACTGGCGAATCATATGAGAAACAGAATATTCCTTGCACTGTTTGCAACAAAATGATATTGACCATACCTAACTAGTCCACAATTGCAAAATTTGCAACACATTGTCCACCAATTAGACGACATTTGCTGAATACTCCTGTGTGCGTGAAGAAACATGCTAAGAAAAGATTTAGGATTGTCATTCAGGCTCAGAGTATGGTACACCTCTGTCTATTGGAAGATATATTAATTAATACACAGAGCCCTGTTCTTTGCAGACAGAAAGAACAAATATACACTGCCTGTTTCAACTCAAGAAATAGGTGACAGCCATTCACTGATTCATTTCACATGCTAATACCATGATCAATCATAGTCAACCTTTAAACAAAACCTGGCAGTTAACATCAATCATTAATTGTTGCATTCTCAATGGCAATACCTCTACCAATCAGAGTTTATTTGCCAACCAAACAGCATTCTCCTCTCATGCAGTATAATGATATTTTCCCCTTAAATTCATATTCTTGCCAATTGTCCTGATGAGTGCACGAAGAAAAGCTTCAACAAAATGTGTTTTTTCAGCAATACTCAATTTCTGTGCTACCAAATAACTATTTTCTGAATTGATTCCAATGCATTTACACCGTTCCTTAAACATTGAGACCCTTACGGTACTCAAGATGTGGTCTCAGCGATGCTGTGTATAACTGAAGCATAGCCTATACTATATACAGTTCCTCTTGTAATAAATGATAACAACCTGTTAACTTTGCTGTTTACCATTTCCTTTTTTCTTGCTGTATTCACATACTAGCACATACTGCCCTACAACACCCAGAACTCTTTGCATCTCAAAGCTCTGGAATCTCTCACCATTTAGATAATGCACTTTTTAAAGAAAAATTCTTCTTGCCAAAATGGACTAATTCACATTTTCCATCATATTACTCTATGCGCCAGATGTTTGCCTACTTACTTAAACTATTCATAGCCCTTTGTATTCTCCTTAATGTCCTCTTCACAACTCAATATCCTACCTATCTTTGTGTCATCAACAAACTTGGTAACATATTTGTACTCCCTTGATTGAAGTCATTTATATAAATTCTAAAAAGGTAAGGCCACACCACTGTTCCCTATGGCACATGTACATTTTGTTGAATTCATTTTATCTTGCCAAACAGAAAATTACCCATTTTTGCTTGCTTGCCATTTTCTGTTAGCTAATATATCTTTTATTCATGAGAATGTTCCCCTCTGAACCATGAACTTCTACTTTCCAATTTGCAATAACCTTTGAGACTGTACCTTAAAGTGCTATCTGGAAATCTAATTGTAGTACATCCTCTGGTTCCCCTTTGCCTACGGTGCACATTATTTCCTCAAAGAACTCTGAAAGATTAGTTGAACAGATTCAGCTTTCACAATACCATGTAGACTTTGCCTGATTAACTTGAATTTTTCAAAGTACCTTAATATAATGTCTTTAATAATAGCTTATATCATCTTCCCTATGACAGATGTTAAACTAACTGGTCTTTTCTTCTCCTGCTGGTCTCTCTTCCTTTTTCGATAAATGAGTTACATTCACAATTTTCCAATCTAACGGAACTTAACCCAAATCAAGGGAGCTTTGGAAAATTAAAACCAATACATCAACTACGTCATTAGCTTATTTATTTTAAGAACCTAGGATGAAGTCTATCAGGACCAAGAGCTATGTCACCTCATAGTTCCAAGGATTTACTCAGTATCACTTCCCTGGTGACAATATTTCCATTCCATTTCCTGATTTATAGCTATTTTCAGGATGTTACTTGTTTAGTGAAGACTGATGCAAAATACCTGTTTAATCCATCTTCCATCTTCTTATTTTCCGTTCTTAATTCCCAAAATACTCACTTTCTATAGGACCAACACTCACTTTGTTAATTCTTTTATTTTAAGTATTCACTGTAACCTTTATTATCTGTTTTTATACCTACAGCTCAGTTCCTCTCTTTATTCTTTTCCCCCCTTATTCACCTTTTAGAGGCAATGGTCTAGTGATATTATCACCAGACTGTTAGTCCAGGGACCCATATA